TCAATCAACTACACTAAACCTAACTCAAAATCTCTCTATTAAGTTGGATAGAGACAATTTTTTGCTATGGAAAAACATGGTTATGCCTATTGTAAAAGGACATAATCTTGAAGGACATTTGCTTGGAACAAAGCTCTGTCCATCTGAGTTCATATCGATTCAGGAGACAACTGAATCAGGAACTATAACCAAGCTGGAAGAAAATCCAGAGTACATCAAGTGGATTTCCAGTGATTCCCTTCTTATGGGATGACTTTATGCTTCAATGGCTCCGGATATAACCATGAGAGTTATGGGAAGCAGTACTACTGCACAACTCTGGTCAGCTATTCAGCAAAGTTTTGGAGTGCTAAACAAATCAAGGATGATTTTCCTCTCTGGAGAGTTACAAAGGCTCAGAAAAGGGGCACTCACTATGGATCAGTATCTCACTAAAATCAAAAAGCTGGCTGATAATCTGCAAGTTGCAGGTAAGCTAATTAATGAAGAAGACCTCATTAATCACGTGCTGACTGGACTAGACGAAGATTACACTCCAGTTGTGGTACAGCTAAATGGAAAGGATCAGTTGAACTGGCATGAAATGACCTCTATTCTCCTCACATTTGAAGCAAGGCTTGACTACTTAAATGAAGCTAGACTTGGTATGGGATCCATCAATCTCAGTCAAGGATATAACAGGGGAGGAAACTTTGGTGGAAGAACAAGAGGAATTGGGAGAAATGCTGGCAACAGAGGGAGAGCAAGAGGCAGAGGAAGAAATACCAGGCAAAATGAATACAAAACTCCCTGTCAAATCTGTGGTCTAATGAATCATCAAGCTGGTTGGTGCTTCAAGAGGTATAATGAAAATTTTGGTGGTATGAAAGCTGGAGAGACAGCAGGCTCTAATCACAGTAGTGTTGATACTCACTCAGCCTATCTAACATCTCATAATATACTGGAAGATCCAGCCTGGTATGCAGATTCTGGAGCATCAAGCCATGTCACCAATAACTTAAAGAATCTGACAGACGCACAGATATACTCTGGTAATGAAAGCATTAAGATTGGCAATGGTAATTCCCTACCTATTACTCACACTGGCTTTAAGATTCTGTCTAATAATGGAAATAGAAGTTTAGTTCTGAACAACCTTTTACATGTTCCCAACATTAAGAAAAATCTGCTTAGTGTGTCACAATTTACTGGAGATAATGGAGTGTATTTTGAATTTCATCCTAACTTTTGTATTGTCAAGGAACTGCTAACGGGGAAACAAGTGGCTCAAGGGATGCTTAAAGATGGACTCTACCAGTTGACACTACCAAAAGCTCACTCTCAATCAGCTTTAACAATTTCAAAATACCCTGTACTTGCTTCTTCCTCAAACTGTAATAAATCTCAGAGTCAGTCTCAGCAAGTAGAAATTTGGCATAGGAGGCTAGGTCATCCTTCTATTCAAGTACTGAATTCTGTGATGAAGTCCTGTAATAAACCGTTTCCAGTTAATGAAATCTCTTTCTTCTGTGACTCATGTCAAATTGGGAAAGCACATAAATTACCATTCAAATTATCTACTTCACATGCTGCAAATCCGTTAGATTTAATACACACTGATGTCTGGGGACCTTCACCCGTAAAATCAACTGTTGGATTTAGGTATTACATAGTTTTTGTTGATGATTTTAGCAGATATACCTGGACCTATCCTATGAAACATAAGTCAGAATCCATAAAATCTTTCAAACAATTCAAAAATCTGGAAGAAAAACAGTATGATAGGAAGATAAAAACGATTCAAATTGACTATTGGGGAGAATTTANAGTTTGATAGGAAGATAAAAACGATCCAAACTGACTATGGGGGAGAGTTTAGAGTCTTTGAGAAGTTTGCTGTAGAAAATGGAATAGAAATGAGGTTCTCTTGTCCATATACTTCACCTCAAAATGGTAGAGCTGAGAGAAAACATAGACACTTGACTGAAACTGCACTTACTTTGTTGTCACAAGCTAAAATACCCTTTCACTACTGGTGGGAAGCATTTTCAATGGCCACATACCTTATAAACAGATTACCAACTCCCGTACTTGGCTTGAAAACACCCTATCAACTCTTATATAAAAAGGAGGTAAAATATGAATCATTAAGAGTGTTTGGGTGCAGCTGTTATCCCTACTTAAGACCCTATAACAAACACAAATTCTCGTTTCACTCTCAAAAATGTGTGAACTTAGGTTTTAGTGCATCTCATTAAGGATATAAGTGTCTAAGTCCTACAGGAAGGGTGTTTATCTCCAGACATGTGGTGATTAANTTTGAGAAGTTTGCTGTAGAAAATGGAATAGAAATGAGGTTCTCTTGTCCATATACTTCACCTCAAAATGGTAGAGCTGAGAGAAAACATAGACACTTGACTGAAACTGCACTTACCTTGTTGTCACAAGCTAAAATACCCCTTCACTATTGGTGGGAAGCATTTTCAATGGCCACCTACCTTATAAACAGATTACCAACTCCTGTACTTGGCTTGAAAACACCCTATCAACTCTTATATAAAAAGGAGGTAAAATATGAAACATTAAGAGTGTTTGGGTGCAGCTGTTATCCCTACTTAAGATCCTATAACAAACACAAATTCTCGTTTCACTCTCAAAGGTGTGTGAACTTAGGTTTCAGTGCTTCTCATAAAGGATATAAATGTCTAAGTTCAACAGGAAGGGTGTTTATCTCCAGACACGTTGTGTTTAATGAAACTGAATTTCCATTTAAAACAAGTTTTCTTGATAAATTCACACAACCAACTGACTCTACTATAATCACATTTCCACTTCCACTGACAACAAACTCTCAAAGCTTGACCTCTATATATACAGCACCTCCCAGCACTTCTGAAATATCAGCAAACCACCAGTTAGATACTACAGAATTTCCCACTCCCATCCAAACAACTCAAGATGTCCATCATTCAGCATCTCAGTCACTCTTAGCTCCTGTTGGCAGTGCTGATAACATACAAAATGCAGAAAGAGATAGTATATCGTATGAAGAAGTGGAAGAGTTGAGAGATGTGGTTTCTAGTGTAAGAGAAGCAGAAGATAGAATAAGAACAAGAGAAAATGCTGAAACTGATACAGGACATCATATGATGACAAGGGGAAAAAGTGGAATATTTAAACCTAAGGTCTACTCAGCTGAAATCTCAGAACCAACTAATGTCGAAGAAGCCTTGTCTAATAGCAACTGGAGAAGAGCAATGCAGGAGGAGTTTGAGGCACTACAAAGAAATCAGACCTGGGAATTGGTTACTCGCAGAGAAGCCACCAAAGTGATAGGTTGTAAGTGGATTTTCAAAGTAAAATACGACTGTGAGGGGAACATAGAAAGGTATAAGGCAAGGTTAGTTGCTCAGGGTTTCTTGCAGACCTATGGAGTTGATTTCAAGGAGACTTTCAGTCCAGTGATTAAAGCTTCAACCATAAAGATCATTCTAACTCTGGCAGTGACAAATAACTGGGATATCAGACAAATTGATGTAAATAATGCTTTCCTAAATGGAAAACTCAATGAGGAGGTTTATATGTATCAGCCTGAGGGGTTCATTGACAGTAAGGTTCCTGATTCTGTCTGCAAGCTAAGGAAAGCAATCTACGGATTGAAACAAGCTCCAAGAACTTGGAATGATGAACTGAAAGGCACATTAATTAAATGGGGAATGACACAATCTAAGGCTGATAATTCTC